CCCAAATATACTTCACACCTATTCAAGGTGGTTGATATGGGTGCAAATGTTCCTTGCACCTATATGGGGTTGCAAAGTTGGTTGCAACTCTCCCAAATAACAATACAATGTTGAGTAAAAAGAATGAATAAAAATACACACACAATCTCTATACAATCCGATATGACTCTCTAAATTAATGTTCAAAATGTCCAGACTAAAAAATGGACAAACTGTGATGATATTTGATCGAAAATCCCTCGTCAATTACTCAACAAAATATTCCTACTTACGTCTCCGAAGCTGTTTGTCCGTAAATCTTTGTCGCACAACAACTTGACAAACTGGTCAAATTCCTTTTATATGCCCCGCGCGGACGTTTTGGACTGCATAAATCTGATTGGTTAATTCCGCCAAAAAAACTAGGTTAGTATGCCGATGAGGTACCTCAATGGGCGATAATATGAAATTTCCGTGGATGATCAGGTCACTAAAATGCTAAGAACGTGATCAATTAACTCGAGAATGATTAAAAATCAAAGTTCCTATGAAAGATTATACGCCAATAATTAATCCGCCACTCGCCTAAACTCACCAGTTCCACTGAAATTCCTGTAAAATGGCTTCGTTTTCCGATTTTCGAAAGAAAAATTACATTGACTTCCTTATTTCCGGAATTTCTTATCAAAACCGGTAATGGTGAAACGAAAACACTAAAATCAATAATCAATTTTCATCACATTCCTTCCTTCCCAGGGGTAGGTTCGTCCCGAACCGAAAACAAAAAAAACAAAAAACAAAAAAATGAAAATTGATTACAGCTACTACAAGTCCCTATTTGACCTTCCCTGATCCATGGATCTATTTCAACACTCTTTGTATTTACATTCTAATGAGGCCAATTCGTCTCCTCCATGCCTCCTCCCTGTTTTTATTTTGTCTCGGTCGAGGACATGAGTTTTCATTTTTGTCAAATTGTCTCTGTATGTCCTTGCCAGTGTAGTTTTTCTTGATATCCTTTGAGTCCCAAGATAATCTAGAACTCCCTCTACTACCACTGAGGGGAGGAACTTTGTTCGCCAAGTCTGGGCACTCTTCTGATGTGATATCGGTAGACTCTGTAGTTTCCGATCCTACATGGAAGTTTGTATCGGTACTACCACTGATCTGTTCTGTTTTGACAAATGTATTAGGTTGAATTTGAATATTCTCCTTTGTTCGACAATCGGAACAATCATCTCCTTTAGTTGCTGGGGAGACTTCAGCAACTTTCCTAGACAGTGTGCCACATATCTCTGTCTTGGCAATTATCTTCCGTACAATTTGGTTGTCTTCCTCTCCTGATTCAATTTTCCCATTGTTCTCTGTTAAAAATTGAATGGGGGCAGTAACTTTAGTTTCCTGCCGTTTTGATATGGGTTCTCCATTCACTGTTTTGTGGGCAAAACACTCCCTTGAATAATGCCCCATCCTGTGACATCTGTAACATTCAACATTCCTTTTAGTAAATTCCCTTGGTTGGTTAGTCTGAATAAGATCCTTGATGGCTTCCTTCATAGATTTGAAACCTTCCTGAAAACTATGCTTCATGATCTCAACCAATTCCGAGAAAGACTCCTTGCTGTCTTGGGACTGATCTTGAGATACTTCCACCGCTGCAATTGATCCTTCCTTATAGCGGGGCAACTGCTTCATCCCTTTTCGCATTTTCTCTGACTCCAAATAGGATTCCTCCCGAATAGCTAATTCAATAGCTTTATCAAGGGACTGTGCATTTCCCTGATGTATTGCTCTTCGCACTTCCTCCTGAGGAATGGCTAACTCAAAACTTCTTCGTGCAAGCCTATCCTGTGCAGATTTTGTCATCTCTGGGTAGGCAAGGCCAGTTAAGCGGCGGATATCTTGTCCTAAACTGGCTAAAGACTCATTTGGTTTCCGAGTCCTACTCGACAATTGAGCTTCAAAAATGTCAGCTTTCCCACCTGGTCCGAATCGTTTCTCCAGGGCAGACACCAGATCTTCATAAGTGTACCCAGGATCCATTTCCGACAAGATTTGCTGGGCTGGACCCCGCAAACTGGTGACTAAAAATTGATTTTGCTCCTGGGCATTCCATCCATTAGCCTCCACACAGGCATTAAAATAAGTCCTATAACCCATCCATGGTGTTTTGCCGTCATATGGTTCTGGGCGAATTTTTACCCTGGTTTGATTAGTGCTTTTACTCTGAACCATTTCCTTACAAAATTCCATACATGTTTTAGCCAACTGGGCCATTTGAGTAACAACAAATGAAGATTCATTATTTGTCTCCTCTGAAATTCCAGGATTTTGGCTGAACTCGGATCTTGAGTCATACCTACAATGCCTGATATCTTCCCATTGCTCCTGTTGGTGTTCATCCTTTTTAGGTGGTTTCCATTCAAACTTGTTTTCCGAGTTCCTTAAGAAGTTGTTTGAGGACTTAACTTCACTATGTGCCATCCAGTTCCGATGTTCCGAACGGGGATCTTCTCTTTCACCCTCCAAATCTCTTCTAGTTTCCATATAGCTTTGAGTGCCTGGCACCTCAAATGGGCTTTCCCTGTGAAATCTGGCCTGCCTCCGCAAAGGCCAGGGGTTCTCCACCCTTTTTACTGGATGATCGCCATCCCATTCCTGTGATGGAGGTATCTCTTTCCGAGGTGCACTCTCCAATGGTTGCCTATTGCCCTGGTGTTGTGGATTCATTTCAATAAATCCAGAAGTGGTCCTGGGTGGGGCAAAGACTTGTTCTTCCGATTCTCTTCCAGTGTGTTAGCCAATGTTTGCACAGTGTTAGCCACATCTTCTACACAAGTGCTTAGCATTTTGGCAACATTTTCCATTTTATTTATCATCTGGAAATTATCTCTCTGATTTTGCTGACAAAGGTTGTCTATTTTCTCCTCCATATGTATGACTGTGTTATCCAGTCTCGAGAGATTGCATCCAATCTCAGTTACAAGTAATTTCTGTTTATCCACTTCTTCACTCAAAGTAGGAGAGTTCTGTCTCCACTCCTGACTTTCATTTTCCAGCATCATTCTAGTTGATGTTTTAGGAATTTTAGATTCCCCCTGTATAGTCGGAGAGTTACTCCTATGCTCCCCTACCTCATCCAATTCTAAAGTCTCCTTAAATGGGTTTAAAAGGTCCAAACCCTCTTTCAGAAGCCAAGTTTTAAGGCTCCGCTTTATGGAAGGGGGGTTCCTTATTCCACTCCCCTCTCTTTCCAGGCTCCTATCCTGTGCTGGATCAGTCCAAGCTTTTATATTCTCTTCTGTCCAATAATCAGTGTTTATGGCGCTGGATTGTGCAGTTGATTGTTGGGTTACAATTCTCCCTTTATCCCCTCGATCCATTATTGGGGAGGTCGGGGCAGTGAGCTTTCCCGCAGCACCCATTTGACTTTGGGTTATTTTGATAAATTCCTCCTTTTGCTCCTCCATGTGACCCGACTTAGAACAACTAGGTTCATAAAATGGGTTTTGTACAACTTTCCTTGTACTCCTTAATTGCTCCAGGTCCATTTCTTGACTACTAAAATCTGGGATATCCTTCTTCCCGTCTCGTATTGGGGAACTTCTTTGTTCAACAGGCAAGGTTTTATCACCTGCCAAAGGGTTTTTTATATCCTCATTGTCTTTCTTAAAGAAGACCTGGGTTTTCTCCTGTTCATTTGTTTGATCCATACTCTCAATATCCGACATTTTCTCCGTATTTCCACCTGTAAATTTACATGCAAATTCCGAGATATGCGTCGCTATTATAAATCCTTATCCTTTCTTCCACAAGAACAACTGAAGCAATCCCACTTCTGACACCAATGTAACGTTTTTCCCGGGTCAGGAATGCGGGGAAAATGCGGGGAAGGTGGACTCTCCCGCGTGTTACTTAATTGCGGGATGTTTCGGAGCGGCGTTGACTCCGCTCGCTACAGTCGCCTGAGATGTTACTCAAAGGGAATGTAAGGGAAAAGAAAGTATTACGCAATCTGGGGTTTGCACTACACAAGTTCCCTCCAGAACTCAATACAATACAACAATGAACATTCAAGTACAGAATAAAAATAAAGTTATATATTTGCTCTTTATGAGCCAAACAATCACAAACAATGCTCTAGAAACAATAGACAATTATGTACAAAGTTAAACTCAAACTACACTAAGCTATATAAACACTAATGCCTTAAGGCAGAAAATACATGTGATGTTACTTGAAGGTCTCTAAATTTACTATAAGAAAGTAAGATCAAATCGTGTTTCACTTTAATCAGTTCCACAAAAGATAAAGGTTGATATGACTTGAATGCTTCTATAGTCTTCTTCAGCAATTGTGGGATGCTGCTCTTTATATTCTCTTGTTGGTCCTGAAATAAAAGGGCGCTCCTGGCCACGGGACTCAACTGCAACTAATCAAATTTATAAATGTGCAACCTGATGCAAATATTCTTAAAATCCTTTTGTGGGTGCAAATGTCCCTTGTACCTATATGGGGTTACCGAGTTGGTTGCAACTCTCCCAAGTGTCCTTCCAAGGTTTATTTTGGGTGCAAATATCCCTTGCACCGATATGGGGTTGCAAAATTGGTTGCAACTCTCCCAAGTATCCTTCACACCTGTTTAAGGGGGTTGATATGGGTGCAAATATTCCTTGCACCCATATGGGTTGCAAAAGTGGTTGCAACTCTCCCAAATGTCCTTCCGTTGATTATTTTGGGTGCAAATATCCCTTGCACCGATATGGGGTTGCAAAGTTAGTTGCAACTCTCCAAAAGATCCTTCCGTTGTTTATTGAGGGTGCAAATATCCCTTGCACCGATATGGGGTTGCAAAATTGGTTGCAACTCTCCAAAATATCCTTCCGTTGATTATTGAGGGTGCAAATATCCCTTGCACCGATATGGGGTTGCAAAGTTGGTTGCAACTCTCCAAAAGATCCTTCCGTGGTTATTGAGGGTGCAAATATCCCTTGCACCGATATGGGGTTGCAAAGTTGGTTGCAACTCTCCCAAATGGTTATAATGGGTGCAAATATCCCTTGCACCAATATGGGGTTGCAAAATTGGTTGCAACTCTCCCAAATGGTTATAATGGGTGCAAATATTCCTTGCACCGATATGGGGCTGCAAAGTTGGTTGCAACTCTCCCAAATGTCCTTCCGTTGATTATTGTGGGTGCAAATATCCCTTGCACTGATATGGGGTTGCAAAATAAGGTGCAACTCTCCCAAATGTCCTTCACACCTTCTTCAGGTGGTTGTAATGGGTGCAAATATCCGTTGCACCAATATGGGGTTGCAAAGTTGGTTGCAACTCTCCAAAAGATCCTTCCGTGGTTATTGAGGGTGCAAATATCCCTTGCACCGATATGGGGTTGCAAAGTTGGTTGCAACTCTCCCAAATGGTTATAATGGGTGCAAATATCCCTTGCACCAATATGGGGTTGCAAAATTGGTTGCAACTCTCCAAAATATCCTTCCGTTGATTATTGAGGGTGCAAATATCCCTTGCACCGATATGGGGTTGCAAAAGTTGGTTGCAACTCTCCCAAATGGTTATAATGGGTGCAAATATCCCTTGCACCGATATGGGGCTGCAAAGTTGGTTGCAACTCTCCCAAATGTCCTTCCGTTGATTATTGTGGGTGCAAATATCCCTTGCACCGATATGGGGTTGCAAAGTTGGTTGCAACTCTCCCAAAAGATCCTTCCGTTGTTTATTTTGGGGTGCAAATATCCCTTGCACCGATATGGGGTTGCAAAGTTGGTTGCAACTCTCCCAAATGGTTATAATGGGTGCAAATATTCCTTGCACCGATATGGGGCTGCAAAGTTGGTTGCAACTCTCCCAAATGTCCTTCCGTTGATTATTGTGGGTACAAATATCCCTTGCACCGATATGGGGTTGCAAAATAAGGTGCAACTCTCCCAAATGTCCTTCACACCTTCTTCAGGTGGTTGTAATGGGTGCAAATATCCGTTGCACCAATATGGGGTTGCAAAGTTGGTTGCAACTCTCCCAAATGTCCTTCCGTTGATTATTGTGGGTGCAAATATCCCTTAAATCCTTAATCCGAGGTGCAACCGGGTGCAAATGTCCTTATGGGGTGCAACCTGGTGCAAATGTGCTTTAATCCTTAATCCGAGGTGCAACCGGGTGCAAATGTCCTTAAATCCTTAATCCGAGGTGCAACCGGGTGCAAATGTCCTTATGAGGTGCAACCTGGTGCAAATGTCCTTAAATCCTTAATCCGAGGTGCAACCGGGTGCAAATGTCCTTATGGGGTGCAACCTGGTGCAAGTATCCTTAAATCCTTAATCCGAGGTGCAACCGGGTGCAAATGTCCTTATGGGGTGCAACCTGGTGCAAATGTGCTTTAATCCTTAATCCGAGGTGCAACCGGGTGCAAATGTCCTTATGGGGTGCAACCTGGTGCAAGTATCCTTAAATCCTTAATCCGAGGTGCAACCGGGTGCAAATGTCCTTATGGGGTGCAACCTGGTGCAAATGTGCTTTAATCCTTAATCCGAGGTGCAACCGGGTGCAAATGTCCTTAAATCCTTAATCCGAGGTGCAACCGGGTGCAAATGTCCTTATGAGGTGCAACCTGGTGCAAATGTGCTTTAATCCTTAATCCGAGGTGCAACCGGGTACAAATGTCCTTATGGGATGCAACCTGGTGCAAGTATCCTTTAATCCTTAATCCGAGGTGCAACCGGGTGCAAATATCCACTATGGGTGCAATCGGGTGCAAATATACGCTATGGGTGCAACCGGGTGCAAATATCCTTAATCATAGGTGCAATGTCTCTGTGTGCCCCTGTTCCTAACCAGGGTGCAATTCCTCTATATGCCCTTGTTCCTTAACCAAGGTGCATCTTGCCCCTGTTCCTTAACCAGGGTGCAAGTCCTTTTATGTGCCCTTGTTCCTTAACCAAGGTGCACCTTGCCCCTGTCCCTTAACCAGGGTGCAAGTCCTTTATATCTCTTATTATACTTTGCACCTATGTCCAGGTTGCAATCATGGGTACAAATGCCCCTTGCACCAATATGGGGTTGCAAGTTGGGTGCAACTCTCCAAAATATCCTTTACACCTAATTCAGATGGTTATTATGGATGCAAATATCCCTTGCACCGATATGGGGTTGCAAGTTGGGTGCAACTCTCCCAAATGACCTTCACACCTATTCCAGGTGGATTTAATGGGTGCAAATATCCCTTGCACCTATATGGGGTTGCAAATTGGGTGCAACTCTCCCAAATCTCCTGGGGTTGCAAGTTAGGTGCAACTCTCCAAAGTCCTTTAGGTGGTTATTACGGGTGCAAATATCCCTTGCACCGATATGGGGTTGCAAAGTTGGTTGCAACTCAAGGTGGTTGATATGGGTGCAAATATCCCTTGCACCAATATGGGGTTGCAAATTGGGTGCAACTCCCCCAAATATACTTCACACCTATTCAAGGTGGTTGATATGGGTGCAAATGTTCCTTGCACCTATATGGGGTTGCAAAGTTGGTTGCAACTCTCCCAAATAACAATACAATGTTGAGTAAAAAGAATGAATAAAAATACACACACAATCTCTATACAATCCGATATGACTCTCTAAATTAATGTTCAAAATGTCCAGACTAAAAAATGGACAAACTGTGATGATATTTGATCGAAAATCCCTCGTCAATTACTCAACAAAATATTCCTACTTACGTCTCCGAAGCTGTTTGTCCGTAAATCTTTGTCGCACAACAACTTGACAAACTGGTCAAATTCCTTTTATATGCCCCGCGCGGACGTTTTGGACTGCATAAATCTGATTGGTTAATTCCGCCAAAAAAACTAGGTTAGTATGCCGATGAGGTACCTCAATGGGCGATAATATGAAATTTCCGTGGATGACCAGGTCACTAAAATGCTAAGAACGTGATCAATTAACTCGAGAATGATTAAAAATCAAAGTTCCTATGAAAGATTATACGCCAATAATTAATCCGCCACTCGCCTAAACTCACCAGTTCCACTGAAATTCCTGTAAAATGGCTTCGTTTTCCGATTTTCGAAAGAAAAATTACATTGACTTCCTTATTTCCGGAATTTCTTATCAAAACCGGTAATGGTGAAACGAAAACACTAAAATCAATAATCAATTTTCATCACAGTATTCTTAATGTTACAGTTAATGAAGGACCCATGGTCCTGTGCTCACACAGTTCGGAACCTTCAGAGGAATGTATATCCTGACTTTCAAACAAAAATATTGATTTGGATTTGTAGTCTCGAACTTTGAGAAACTTAGATAGCACAGTTGTGTGACCTAGTTTGATGACCTTTGACCTTGAACATTTTACTAATTCAGAGCTCAGTAAGGTCTTTTGTGATTAAGCTGACCAAAATTTACATACAAAAATCAATTTGAAAAATCAACTTTTTTGACCTTTCGAAGGTCAAGTAAAGGTCAAATCCTAAAACTAATGTCAGATTCGAACTCCTGGCAATTTGTAGATGATTTTCAAAAAAAATAGGTCAAATTGAATCAAGTTGAAAGATAACTTATTTCTACTGTTTTTTGACATCAAATATCTCAAAAACGGTAAAAATTTGATGCTGACATATATTGAGCAATATGTAAGGAATGCTTAAATCTAGTAATGGTGTAATTCATTGCAAGAAATGATCAAGTATAAGGCAAACTTTGAGAAACTTGTCAATCACAAAACCTGCCATTGACTTTATACATGAGAAAGTTTCCTGAAAATGATTTAAGTCCTACTTTCTGTCAAATTTTATAGAGTAAACACCAAAAACTGTAATTCCAAGAGCTTTGAAATCTTCAGAGGACATAATTTGCATATACAGCAACTGCTAAACGTTATTTGAAAGTTCTACTTCAACAAAGTGTCTAGTATTTACAGAAAATTTGACTTTTTGACGTCGAAATCCGCAATTTCTCGGAAACCAGGCGAACTTGGGAAATGGCGATGATAGGTCAAATAGGCATTATGGATATGCATAAAATGAATGTAGATATGACTCAATCCGAATAGCAGTTTTAATTTGTGCGGTCAATGTTGACGGACGGACGGACCAACGGACAAACAGACGGACGGACCAACGGACGGACGGACGCCTGGTCGATCCCATAGGCTCACTGTGTGAGCCAAAAATGATTCATTTTAATTTGTTCATGGGGAATCCATAATGGAAAGTGCACCAGACCCTTTAATTGTGGTTGAATATGAAATAAAGCAAAAATAAAAAACAAAATGTTTTATTGCGACTAGATTCGAACCCAGGCACAACGGACTTACGTGAAGTGCTAGATTGCCGAAGTGCTATCCATTACACCATAGAGACATGATCTTTAGACACAGTCTCCACATAAATATAGCTCAACGTCCACTGACAAGGTTTCAGACGTGTAGCTTAACTGCAAGTTTTCTTAAACGTGTACTTGAGCGTGGACTTACGCGTTCAGGTTTACGGTTTGCATTTATACGTGTAGCTTAACCTCTCTAATTATTAGTTAGTTTTGTATGTTTAATACATACAAGATACATGATTTCTGAAATTTGCATTTTCATGTTTGGCATTTGCATTTTTACGATACTATGTATTGCATATTGGCGCTTATAGTTGGCTCAAGTTTTTTTTTATACAAGTATGTGTACCGAACGAAACGGAACAACAACTGTACAACTGGTACTTAATATTAGATGGCCTTTAGTACACCATTGAACATAGGTTCTGGTCCAGTATAAAGATGGCAGTACCATCAGAATTCAGAATCATGCCATCTTTATTTAAAGGGACAAAGTGCGGAAATGAAGTCTCACTTTTGATCTTCATAGTATTTCCAATGGATTAAAAAGTACCCGATCTTTCATTTGACACCAAAAAAGCTCAAACAGACCACATCTGAGTTGACACTAGATCATGAAAAAATTATTTTTGATCTATCAATTTATATATGTCAAGTTTTAGCAATGCCATAGAAAGATGGCATTGTTATTTGTTATTATTAATCCAAGAGTATACACTTGAAAAGTGGTAATTCACTTTTTTCAATCTCTGAACTTCAAATTCTGTTTTCTATGCGAGTAATTTTTGTTTCACTTCAGTATTATCCCAAATTAAAGTTTTTATCATATTTGATTGACTGTGTGAGTGACATGTCTAAAATAATATTTTGTCCCTTTTCCTTCAAAAATAGGCGCATTGCCTGTTTAATAATTATTTCTATCGACCTGAGCCTATGCTATTGGATAAACGGGGTGAGTTTTCTCATACCAAGGTACACTTCCCTGCACCGTTATGGGATTATTTTACTCTATTGCGA